TGAGAAACAATTCGAAATGAGGTTCTAGATGCGTGAATAAAGGAACTGAGTTCTCAAATTTACTAATACCAATCTTTCAATCTGATGTTGTAAACCTTTGGTGGTATATCAAACGTACACTATTAGATCTAACAGAATTCATAGTTTAAAATATCTAAGGTCTACGAATCGTATTACAAAGAAATTGGGATTAGAAAATCATGAGTTGAGGCAAAAACTTAGTTCCTTTTCTTAAGTTTATTCACCCTTAATTCACCTTTAATTAAACCCTTGGAGTTCCTCTCATTGCGGTGAGTAAACAGTGAAATAATGTAAAGAATAAGAGCTAGATCACGCACCTCTACCCCCCTTAGTAAAAGTAAATTCAACCTATATAGAGCTAGGTACAGTACAAACTGGGACCGTAAAGGTTGACCCTGCTGCCCGTGAGAAGAGAAGTGAAAAGAAAATTTTTGAAAGAAAAAATTGAACGAATTTATAAGGTCAGATTTATTGAAAGAAAACATTTAATTTATAGAGACATTGAAATGAATGAACAGAGGAGAGGAGAAAAATAGATAAAGATGGAAGAATTAAGAAGATTAAGAGTGAAGATAAAATTAATTTATTTTTATTAATACAAAAAAGTTCTTAAGGTTTAAAATCTCAGTTCTTTAGAATTTATCAACAATACCACCATTCTTTAAGGACTGATGAGGATATGAAATATATCGAAATTAATTTCCAAAACCGAGTTTTTCTACCTGTGAGAGTGAAACCTTTTTTTGCCAGTTTGGACAATTTACAATCAGTCCTGCTTCACCCTACAACATCTTCTTTTGTGGCAGAAATTCAATTTTCCAATTTCAAATTTAGAAATTCTGATGTTCGAATGTTCCCTCATTGAAATAAAGTTTTGTCACCCAGCTAAGTAGAAACACAAACATGTCCAGCACGACACGGAGAAACTTCTAAAGAAAAGGAAAAAAACATTTATCATAGAATTATCAGAGAAAGAGTCCAGAATTTAGTCAATTCATGCTAGGCTTAAGTTAGGATGATTAAACTTGATTTCAGTTTTAAGTCAACTTTAAGTCAACTTAATGGAGATTTTAGTGTAATAAAAAGTGTTGTTGACTGAAAATGCCTCTGGGAATATAAATTAAAATTTCTTTCCTTCTTTCTTAATTTCATTATCTTTGTATCCAATAAACGTTGTAAACGGTTAAAGGGATCGGTACCAATTCTTTTGGAGGATCCATCTTTGCAACTATGAAATCTGTTAAATCAAATAGTAAAAGTTTGAAATATCAAAGATATTGGGTTGAGAAAATTTGAGTTTTTGACCAAGACTCAATTCCTGTAATTGTGGCCAGTCAAAAATTATGAATTGTTTTTTTGGAAAATCCTTCAATGAACCCAAAAATTTTTCAAAATCTTAAATGACTATATTTCTTAAATATGTACGAAGACAAATTTGCTGCAGAAATAGTACCATCTAAATTATGAAATCAAAGAATTGGGAAAAAAAAGCATGGTATTGTATTTTTAAACATAACTTGATTTAATTTCTAAACAAAATTAAACTTTCCGCATTTAGAAGGAGAAGGGGGGAGAGAATAAGAATGGGAACATCAGAGATTTTGAACGTAAAAAAATTATTTTAAATCAAGACTTTCCTCGCTAATCTGACATTCTTTTGTCTCCAAGTATTTGAAGATAAATTATTCTATTTAATCTATATATGTATAGTCTCAACTCCCTTCTCTGGATTATCCTTTCAATCCTTCTCCTCACTAAAACTTAACTCTTCTAACCCTGATACTGCAAATTGTCAATATTTTTTTATTTTCCTGATAAAAGATGTTGTATGCTTTCTTCCGCTATTTCCGACCCCCTTCTACCCATCATAGTCGTATTTAGACTCTTACACCTTTCTAAATCCTCCCACCCCTCAAGAGCTTCATATCTTCCTGATTGATTAAACTATCTGATGTATGGAAAGTTAAACCCCGCCACAAGTATGAATCCCCTCCCTACGTTCCTATATCCCCCCTCCCTCCATCCCTCTTCATTTCATATCATAATTATCAGACATCGGTTGGTGTCTTACTAACTATTATTCCCTCTTCTCCATATTCTAATGTTACTTTAGTAATTTTGACAGGTTTTAGTATAACTGTATGCAGATATGCACCCGGATACACTAGATTCAGGGATGGTTATTCCACTCCAGGTTTAAGAGGATTAAGGGTTTCAAAGACAAGGTAGTGCAGCTTAAAATTAGGGTGACGTTTAAGAACATTCATAAAACTAACATTTTATACTGTTCTTGGTAGTTGTCATATCGTTCCTTGCCTTAGTCTTCAGATAGTTTTTAGCACTAGTTTTCATATAGTATTGGAATTTGATTTTAGATTTTTCTACGCAGTGGTTTTCATGTTGTTCATAGAACTTATCTCTATAGAGCGTTCAAAGCAAAAGTTTACGGCGGTAGAAACACTAAAAGAATTTTTAATCTATAACAGTCTACAGTAGAAACACTAAAAGAATCTTCAATCTACACTCTACAGTAGAAACAATAAAAGAATCTCCAATCTACACTCTACAGTAGAAACACTAAAAGAATCTTCAATCTACACTCTACAGTAGAAACACTAAAAGAATCTTCGATCTACATTCTACAGTAGAAACACATAAAAGAATCTTCAATCTACACTCTACAGTAAAAACACTAAAGGAATCTTCAATCTACACTCTACAGTAGAAACACTTAAAGAATCTTCGATCTACACAGGAAAAGGTTCATTTTTGTTTAAATAGGTTTAATTCCTGATTAAAATTAAATTTAATTTAAAATTTTGTTTTATTAATCTTCAGAAAAAATTTTTTCGACACGTCGTAACATTCGATTATTTTTACATGGAACCCAAGTCTCACGTGAATAATGAATTCTCAAGAATGTTAATTTATATTTTAAATTTGAATGTGATTATTTAAACTCAAGGGTTTCTGCTCATGTTTCAACTCTTTGCATCCTAAATACCATAAATCAATACTAAGAATATTCACCCTTAAGATCCCCCTCTTGAATAGGGTGTTCCAGAATAAATGAAGCTTATAGAACAAAAAAGATTAATTAAACCGACAATTTTTTTTTGCCAGGTTTCGATTTTTCTTTGATAACAAAATGTTCTGAAAAGCAATGTGAGTTTGGAAGACCAAGAAGCAAAATTGTAATGTTTGGATTCCATTTTTTCTTTGACACGATGTGAAGTCTGGTTGGTTTATGTAAGGATGGTTTGCACTGAGGTCTCCTAATTAAAAATTCAAATTGGCATTATCTTAGCATATTTAGGCTGGGGGGGATGTTTGAAGGGGGAATTTCTTTTTAATTACTTGAGCAGCTTCGCCCTCAGGCGATTCCCCCGGGAACTTCAGTGCTATACACTATTTCACCATTTCAACATTTCAACAGATGGAATTTAGGAATTTCAAGACAAGCGTCAAAGTTTATGATGGAGTGTTGAGATGGTTTATAAAAGAGAAGGGAGGGTTCGGTTTTCATTTTGCGTCTATAGTTGAACAAAGTTTGCTAAAACATCGTTGCGTCAAAACGCGTTCTTTTGCGTCAATCATTTGGAGGTTTTATATAATATTTAATGCGTACTATTGTGAATTATCCTGCTATGATTAAATTTTTTATCATCATAATTTCTTGAAAATAAGAAGATAAACAGGCTATTCAAAATTTAAAGAGAAAAGAAAATGATTAGAAGATTTAAAACTGTGAGTGCCATCCTTCTTTTAATCTTGATGAATCCCTGGTGTGCCCTGATTGAAAACCTCCTGGGAGTCCGCCATTTTTAAAATCTCGTCATATCTGTCAAATTCTCATTAATGAAGTGAAGTGTGGCTGAGATGGCTGTTTAGAGGACTGAGCAGAATTATAAATTGAAAAAATACAATCTTTACAAAAAATTGGTTCTTATCTTAGGTAGAGGAACTGAGTTTTGGCCACAAACTCTGATTTTCTAATCCCTATATCTTTGCAACCCAATGTTGTAGACATTGAATATTTAAAACTATGAATTTAATTAGATTAAATAATCTAAGTTTGAAATATCAAAGGCTTGTAAGTTTGTGGCTTAGGTTCAATATCTATATTATCCTGTCTAAGTTTCCGCGTATTATTTCCTTGTTAAAGATTTTAACTGTCTTATATTTTATCATCTGATGTGTTTGTTATTTTAATATGTTATATTTCCCTTTTTTACTCATCCTGAATGGTAAATATTAAGTTTTTTAAGTTTCTTCTAGATTCTGGATTTTCCGGTATGCATAATGACAACCCTACACCATCAACATTATCTATAAATATTAGGTTTGAGAGTGCGGTTGTTTACTGTTCTATGTATGTATGTCTATTGTATAATATATAATGTATTAGCGGAAAGAATGGTTTGGGAAGGGTTGAGGAAGGATGTGCCGGGAGAAAAGGTTAATGTTCCGTGAGATATAATGGTCGATTATTTGCTGGACACATTTATCCTGTCATAACAAATCATTCAATACGTCCCATCCTCCACAGATCCTGGAGAGATGGTTGTATACGTCCCATCCTCCACAGATCCTGGAGAGATGATTGTATACGTCCAATCCTACACAGATCGTAGAGAGATGGTTGTATACGTCCAATCCTACACAGATCCTAGAGAGATGGTTGTATACGTCCCATCCTCCACAGATCCTGGAGAGATGGTTGTAAACGTCCGATCCTCCACAGTTCCTGGAGAGATGGTTGTATACGTCCCATTCTCCACAGTTCCTGGAGAGATGGTTGTATACGTTCTATCCTTCACAGTCCCTGGAGAGATGGTTGTATACGTCCCATCCTCCACAGATCAAGGATAGATGGTTGTATACGTTCTATCCTTCACAGTCCCTGGAGAGATGGTTGTATACGTCCCATCCTCCACAGATCCTGGAAAGATGGTTGTATACGTCCCATCCTCCACAGATCAAGGAGAGATGGTTGTATACGTCCCATTCTCCACAGATCCTGGAGAGATAGTTGTATACGTCCCATCCTCCACAGATCCTGGAGAGATGGTTGTAAACGTCCCATCCTCCACAGTTCCCGGAGAGATGGTTGTATACGTTCTATCCTCCACAGTTCCTGGAGAGATGGTTGTATACGTCCTATCCTCCACAGATCCTGGAGAGATGGTTGTATACGTCCTATCCTCCACAAATCTTGGAGAGATGGTTGTATACGTCCCATCTGCCACAGTTCCTGGAGAGATGGTTGTGTACGTCCCATCGTCCACAGATCCTGGAGAGATGGTTGTATACGTCCCATCCTCCGCACATCCTGGAGTGATGGTTGTATACGTTCTATCCTCCACAGATCCTGGAGAGATGGTTGTATACGTTCTATCCTCCACAGATCCTGAAGACATGGTTGTATACTTCCCATCCTCCACAGATCCTGGAAAGATGTTTGTATTGCATACGTCCCATCCTCCCCAGACAGTGGAGAGATGATTGTATTGAATATGTTCCATCCTCTCCATATCCTGGAGAGATGGTTGTATTAAATACGTCCCATCCTCTCTATTTCCTGGAGAGAAGGTTGCTATGAATACTTCCTATCCTCTCCATATCCTGGAGAGATGGTCGTATTGAATACGTCCTATCCTCTCCATATCCTGGAGAGATGGTTGTGATGAATACGTCCCATCCTCTCCATATCCTGGAAAGATTATTGCATTGAATACGTCCCATCCTCACCAGACACTTGAGAGATGTTGTAATGAATACGTCCCATCCTTCCCAGACACTGGAGAGATTGTTGTATTGAATACGTCCCATCCTCTCCATATCCTGGAAAGATGGTCGTTTTAAATATGTCATACTCTCCCCAACACTAAATGCCTCCCATCCTCCCCAACACACTGAAGAGAAGATATTATAAAATATGTCCCATCCTGGAGATAAAATTTTACTAAACACGTCTAATACTACCCAACACCCTGGATAGAAGATATTACTAAATAAGTTGCATCATCCCACAACACCCTGGAGAGAAGATTATACTGAATCCGTACCATACTTCCCCAAATTTTTTTTTTACATAATACGTTCCATCTTCCCCAACACTCTGGAGAAAAGATTAGGACGGAAAACAGAGAAGAGATACTGATTCAACTGTTGGGGGTTTTTACCAAAGGAATTGAGTCTTTGCCACAAAATCAAATTTTCTAATCCCTATATCCTTGATACCTGATAGTGTAGACCTTAGATATTGATATTGTAATGCTAAGATAAAGGGATTTCAAAATCAGAGTTTGTGTCACTGACTCAATTCCTTTGTTTTGCTTTCATTTTTTTACGGTCCGAGAGTCGCTAGCAACTTTTTAATTCAGATTTAGAATATTCTTCATAAATCTTATTCAGCCTTTCTAGGTTACAATTAGCTCCCGGAGAGAAAATCCAGTTCAGAAGAAGAATATATTTCTCCAGGTTGGAAACAAAACGTAGCTCTCCGCTCCAGATAATGGATTGCCCCCTCCACCCCCCGGCACACTAGGGATATATGGATCTAATTTGATAAAGAAAATTTAGGAAATTTAAGAAGGATCACATAATGACTCCAAACTATAGAGAAACTCAACACTATATCAAATATTTGCGAAGAAAGAAAATAATTTTCAGATTATCTGAAGTGAGAACTTTTGTTTTGTGAATTTTGGGATTAAGCATTAATATTCATTCTACGGATTTCTTCAATATTTCATGGTGGTCATACCCTGCAGGAATAACTTTGATTGAGGGATCAAGCATTTATCCTCAAATGCAAAAGGGCCCAAATTGGATATCAAGATCAAGCGTTCAACTATTTCCACCTGAATGTTCCGGCCTCTGAATTTATTTTATCTTAAAAAATATATTTATTGCTAAAAATACATATATATGTTTTATAGAAATTAGGTGGAGATTAGCTTACACTGTACACTGTGTTGGGCATTATCCCTAATTAATAAAATAACATTTTTTACTTGGAACCCCACTAAACGGGTATAGACTGTATTTGCAGAAATTATGTTTTTTTTTCGGGAAATGAAGACCTAAAACAGTTTTCAATAGTTTCAAAAAAGACAATAAAGGAAGTTTCTTGATCAGTGTTTAAAATAGTGTTCCAGTTTTCATTTTCCAGCATTGTTTTAAAACTATCTTTAAAGTTAATTTTACTATTAGATTATATATGCTTACTGCAGTGTTAAATGCTAATTTGAAGAAAAAAATATTGTCATTAATTAAAATGGTTTAACAGGCTCATTTCAATTGTGTAAGTAAAATTCCATTGAGTATTCAGACTTTCACGTTTTTTGTTCCAATAATTTTGGACTTTCAGTTTCTATTTGTAGCCAGGGTGAGACCATATTGCAGATTTGTTGTCTAAATATGAATAAAATCTATACTTTGTCTGCAAACTTGAAACCAGACATGTCGCAAATTTCAAAATTGCACCATGATCCCATTTTGATTGATTATGCTAAATATTCTGCGAAGTTTGGTCTAATTGATGAATGGATGGAGAACACGGATTTCTCATTTTAGAAACATCTTGCTGGTATTGCTCTCTTTAGAGGATTCCATTAAGAAAAAACACGCGGCTTTTGTATATTCAGAGATCATCCATTTCATATCTGATAGATAATTACAATATTACATTTATAGATGAGATATATTTTCCAACTAATATTTACAAATGCCGTATGTTATAAAAATAAATGATTTTCAAAATAAGAATTCTATATTGACAAAACAAACAAATGATGTAATAAAAATGACTTTTCAAAAGACAGAACTTAAAATTAACTTAACTTTTTTCAAGAGTAAAATTCATCAATGATAATACTACAAACGGATAAATCCGATATAAAAGGTTATTAATAGAATTTAAATAGTTCCATGTAAATCTGTTGCAATTTAATCATTTTATTAAGGTCAATGTTAATATCAAAAAGGAATTGTTATACATAGCTAGATAGTTTACTAAACAAATTGCTTCTTAAATTATTTTAAGTATATAAAATTAAATCATTTACATTTGTACCCCTAGATAATGTATTGGTTTGTACCTTTTAATCACTATAATCCAAGTTGAGAAATGATTTTTCTCGATCTAAAGCAAAAATTAATGAAAAAATCTTTCATTTGATATAGGCAGCAAAACCTTATTTAAGGAATGAACAGAAAAAAATAGTTTTATTTAATTGTTAACTGTAATTCAGTATGTTTTTAAAAAAAGAGTTTTTTTTATGTCCAATTCTTTAAAAGGTTTTAAATACCCCTCCTTAAACAAGCCGTTCCCCCCCCCCCCCCCCCCCCCCCCCCCCCCCCC